GTCTAATAAACCTACTTTGCAAGAATCACAATTAGGGTGGTTAATAGCCGGCCCACTCAGTATCAATCAATCCAACTCGGAGGTCTATTGTTATTTCAATCAGTTTTCAAATTTAGATAATTCCCTGAAAAAGTTTTGGGAGATTGAAGAACTACCTTCAGAGACAAAAACATACTCATTAGAGGAACAGTTTTGTGAAATTGACTTTATAGAAAACACGACCCGCTTATCCGACGGTCGGTTTTCTGTCCGTATGCCCTTAAAGGAACCCGAAAATAGTCTTGGTGATTCATATTATATGGCTAGAAAACGTTTCTTCAATTTAGAATTAAAATTAAATAAAAATCCGAAACTTAAGGAGTTTTAGGTTAAATAGTTTTTATCGATATAAATTGCACTACAAGTCAATGAAACTAATCACGAAAGGTCCAGGTTTAATATTTATTTACGTACAACAAGTTGAACACGCACAAACAGGTAGCACAGCACAGACGAAGAATAATTAGTTCATAGAATTAAATAGTAAGATAGAAAAGCAAGGTGGAAACTGAATTTAATAAACATACAGGAAACAAAGAATTACGAAATAAGTAAGCTATCGATAGGCGACATGCGATCTGCGTGAAGTCGAGAGAATCGCTGTCGGTTGGGACGATGCGCCGGAGCGGGGTTGTCTCCCCGTACACTCCACTGCAAATACCGTTAGAATGTGCGTTTTCGTTGCACATTCTATTGCCGTTATTTTATCGTGTGATGTCGGTGTAATTATAATAAATATGTAAATATACTAATATTATGGTTGTAGTNTTTTCGCCGAACCCGTCGCTTGCGACGAAGGGCTCGGCGAGTAAATTAACCCACAGACACATCCCACTGAGTTTCTCGCCGGATCTTCTCAGTGGGTCGCGTTTCCGATCCGGTGGTAGGTTCTGCAAAGCATTGCTCTTGCAAGGTTAGTGTTAGCAACGTCGTCAGGTCGCCATCAGGAGGGCCGGTTCTCGTCTGCCTACGTGGACAATAAAGAAAAAAAGCCCAGTCTTTTTCTCTGAAGACTTCCAAGTTCGGAAGCAGTTTTTTTGAAGTTTTTATTTGGTTCTAGCTTCAACATACTCGTCACTCGTGAGCTTCAGAGCTCTCAAAAGCTCAATGATTTCCTCCTAACCAAAAAACTACTTAAGTTAATGACAAAAGCAATAGGGTTTTTATTTACTGCTTAGATGTGTGACAATAGACATCACAACGTCGATGCCAACACCCACCTTGTCAGTTCTTGGTCTCACGGCTGCCCCATCCTTCAAACCGAAACGACTGAAGAATCAATCCGCTGTAAAGCTGTCAGTAAATCAATTTAAATTACTTTTGAAAGAAAATTGCTAAACTATACATACATATCACACTTTTAGAATTGAAGTGGCTTAACCCAAAATTTTTTTTTTTTTGTATACGCCAAAAACGTTTTTGAAAAATTGTATTTTTTCAGTTTTTCGATTTTAAAAACTTTAAGCTTTAAAGCGCATGCCTTAAACTTTAAAGTATGCGCTTAATTTATAAGAGACGGAAAGTGTACTTTATCTTTTTCTAGACTAAAACGTAATATTTTAATTTTTAATTTAAAAGTCATTCAAAGTAGGTGTATCTAAAACTCATTTTCTAAAATTTTTTGTTATAAGCCACTTCAATTCTAAAGGTGCGATATGTATTATTATGTATATTTTTTTGGTTTTCGCGATATTATTATATTATTGTATACATTATTTATAGCTATTTACTCTATATTGTACTACCTTTGGTTGACAGGTAAAGAATGTCTTAGGCATGTAAATTTTACATGAAGTGTAATAAATAAATAAACTAAATAAATGAATATTAAAGACAAAAACAGATTGAGAAACATCGTCCGATAGAAAGTGATATAGAAAGGTGGTCACAACCCTCAGCATTGAGGAATACGACGCAAAGAAGAGGAGATATTAAACCTTCTTTTACGGCTTAAAGTCACGTCTATTGTTGTTACTATATTATTTCTTTTGTATACGGAGCAGTTTCTTTTTTTTAATTTTTTTTTTAGGAAGGAAGGATTACTGGTGGCCCCAGTGCCTTTCCAATTTCACCGGGACAAATAGGAGTAAACAGATTCCGTGGGCAAGCCCGACTAAGGTGTTATTTCTCAATATTTGTAGGTATATTATAACTAGCTACCGTCAATTTTTCTATAAAATTAATTTATTGTCATTTACGAGCAAATTTGTGAATTATATTCGAGTTTTATCAAATGAAAATTGTTTTCGACGCTCCAACGCGATTTATTAGACAAACAACAATAATAATTATCTCAATCCAAGGGTTCGTTGTTACGAGCAAGGTCAAATAAATGAACATATGGACAAGGAAAAAAAATCGAAGATAACGTGGTTTAAACGCTGTACTGATTCATCTTTGACTTTGTCGACTGGTATTGACTGACTGGATGGTCCAGTAGGCAGTGCCCCTGACTATTGTGCCGAGGGTCGTGAGTTCGATTCCCACATCGGACAAACATTCGTGTGATGAACAGATGCGTTTGGCCTTTTTCTGGGTGTTTAGTATCTATATACATATATTTAAACGTACTATATAACATGTGTGTCAATCTCTGGTACCAATAACATAGGGAATCCTAAATTGGGAGCGAATGACCGTGCGTGATTTGTTTTGTTCCCAGTTATTATTCTGATTTTTTTTTATTGCTTACATGAGTGGATGAGCTTGCAGCCCACCTGGTGTTAAGCAGTTACTGGAGCCCATATACATCTACGACGTAAATGCGCCACCCATCTTGAGATTTAAGTTCTAAGGTCTCAAGTATAGTTTTACTGGTGGTAGGACCTCTTGTGAATCCGCACGGGTAGGTACCACAACCCTGCCTATTTCTGCCGTGAAGCAGTAATGCCTTTCGGTTGAAGGGCGGGGCAGCCGTTGTAACTATTATTATGATTATTAATCTCGTTCGGTTATGTTACTCTGTGGCTGAGGATGATAAATATAATTTTGTGTAGTTTGTTTGTTCATTCGAAAAACCCCAAGAGCATTCGAAGCCAGAAGTTATTAATGATAAGTGCTTTTTTTATGGCTCGATATAATTGAACAATAATGACATAACTGACGGTAGGCAGCGGTTTTATTGTACCCTTAACATTGCTGACGCCCATTAGTGATGACAACCATTAGGTGAGCTGTATGCTCATCTGCTTACAAAGGCTGCTAAAAAGCTTAGAGGAGCGTATAGACTACACAATATGAAAGTTGTCAAAACTACAAGCCCCTAAATAGGAGTTTGTGTGTCTACTAGCAGGGCCAAACAATTTGCCTCACCTGTCCGATAAACATCGAACCTCTTTCAGCAATTACCACAACTTCGATATCAAATCGTTTTTTTATTTATTTAATCGTTGTGGCTAAAAATACCAATGTTTCACATAAGCTACAATTTAATGGCCTTAACACCACGTGCTGCTGAGGCTAAAGTATAAGTGAAATTTATTTCGTAGTAAACGCAATACAGTGAAATCCAATTGTTCTTAGTTTGTTAATTTTTGGTATTAGCATAGCCGGCCACATGTTATTTAGAAACAAAAACCTTAGCCACAGTAGTAAACGCAATACAGTGAAATCCAATTGTTCTTAGTTTGTTAATTTTTGTTATTAGCATAGCTGGCCACCTGTTATTTAGAAACAAAAACCTTAGCCACAGCAACATGTGGCCGGGTCTGCTGGTTAAAATTTTAATTTTAGAATTGAATAAAAAAACATGCGCAGTGGTTAGAGAAAAGAACTACATTTTTAAAAACTCTCACGGAGAAAAGCGACCCTAAGGGCGCGGGAGCCATATGGCTTTAATGTTAATGTTTACATAGACAAATTTATTTAGATAAATTTTTCAGAGATTGGTAAGAGAGTTTTAGCTATAAATGTGGAAGGCTTTAGAGGAAGAGGTAGAACTAAGAAGAAATGGATGGATTGCGTGAAAGACGATATGTGTAAAAGGGGAGTGAGCGAAGAAATGGTAAGTGATAGAGGAGTATGGAATGAGAAAACATGTTGCGCCGACCTGGCTTGTAGAAGGACAGGAGAATGATTATTAGTGAATTGGAATGAAATTAAATGAAACGAGATGACATGGGTTGAAATAAAGTCTCAGTAAAATCTCAGTCTCAAGAGTTCGCTTCGCGAATGAATCTACTACCGGATCGGGATTATGACCCGCCGAGAAGATTCAACGAGAAACTAAGCGGACTGTTGCATGAGTTATGTCGCACACCGAACGGTTACCTGGGTCAAGCAATGCCTTTTTTTTTCTTTTTTTCCTACCGAAGCTGATAGTCTTGAGAGCCTAGCGTAACCTTAACTAGTAGGTGAGCTCACGGGGCTCAAACCTAACGACGTTGCTAACACTAACCCTAGCAACAGCAGTGCTTCGCAGAATCTCCCACCGGATCGGAAACGTGACCCACTGTGAAATCAGTGGGCTGTGTATGTGGGTTAATTTACTCGTCGAGCCCTTCGTCGCAAGCGACGGGTTCGACGAGAACGATGACCGGAAGCAATGCCAGAGGCATGGCCAAGCCGCTGCCTACCGCTTGTCAAACTTGCTCGTGGATCGGAACAAAATTAAATAGAGATGTGTAATGCTTTCCATTAAAAAAAAGTACACCTAAAGAACTGATAGAGTTTCAATGAAACACTGAACATATTTAAAAAACCCATTTATTTCATTTATCGTTCCCGATTGGACAGCCATAAAAAAATTGTATCCTATTACATATATTTACACTATACACAATAGTAAAAATAGAAAATATAGTTTATTTATTTTTTCTCCACGAAAAAAATATAATTTAATATGTAATTTATATTATGAAAAAAAAATACACATACAAAATCAACAGCCACTTTGATAATCTCATTCAGAAATTAATTCTAAAATATATATAGCCAGGCAGGAAATAAAAAAAAAAAAATTACGGTATCATACATGTCATAGTCATACTCACATAAACCCTTTGCCTTTGATTAAGAAAAAATATTTAAGTAGAACAAGATCACAATAAAAGTTACGTACAACTGGAGGTGAATGACCTCGCGCGGCGCTAGGCCACTGATACCTACTACCGCGCTTTTCAAAATATTAAAATATGACATTTAATTCCAAATTTCAAGTCAACTCACTTAGAACATCTTATTTTATTTAGTTATTGAGAATCTTTTAAATGTATTTTTATTTTTCATTGATTTTATAAAGTTATTTTGATTAAATTCGACATAATGTATCTACATCCCTAAGCTATAAAACATATCGATTTGACGTTCAAGTTTTTTAAAGTAACAACTTCAAAATTTAACCGGACCAGTGCTTAGTGCGAGTCTTTTAACGTTCTCGATAGCGTAAAAGTTAACTCGAATTTGTATGTTGGAACAACGCCCCTAGCGGCAGACGTAGGCAAACGTTCCAAGCACACTGCTGAGTTTTTTGCTACACACTGTGTAATAACAATATCTGGAATTCCTTGATTTATTTCTTGATTTATTCTTTCTATACACTTTGTAATTTCACGCTTAAATTATTATCATGGGACAGGAGTTGACTTTCTTAACATTAATTGAAAACCAAAAGTAAAGATATGCGGATTTACGCCATTAGTTTTATATAGGGTGTTGTAATCTCGTATTCAGGTTAGGAACTGCTGATTTATAACACTTTTACTAGTGGAAGGGCATTTTACGAGCCTACACGGGTAGGTACCGTCACCCTGCCTATTTCTAAGAAGCAGTAAGGTTTGAAGGGTACAGGACAGCCGTTGTACTGTAAATATTATCTGTTTTTGCAATACCATGGCTGCTTCAGTACAGTATGTTTTTTATATAATATATTCGTTAGTTTAATAGCTTTTACGAATGTCATATTTAATCTCTAAATTATCACTTAATCAGAATCACTAAAAACAACACATAATCAAGTTATTGTTCATTAAATACATATTATTTTCATAAGCATAAATTTAAGTTTTTTTTATATATTTACATCTATACTTACATTTATTACATCTTTCATTACAAATCTCTAAACATTTATTAAATTACTGTGATACGCAAAATTCGGGACGTTTTAAGCTTCCATATACTCCTCCGGTATGCGTACATTCAAAATTATACTTCAAACATACCGGTGTAATGTTCAAAATTGTATAACTTCGTTAATAATAGAACAAACATGACGACCTTATCTAGTATTCGTACGTTGAGTACAAAATGTGTATAAGTAAAATAGTTCCTCAAAGGAAAATGCACCTAAACTTATCGAGATAAGGTTTAAAATCAACTAAAGTTTTTAAGTATTTAATTCATTATGCCTCCTGTGTGCTTCACTCCTTCGCGTTCTTTAACCACTCTGGTCTAATGACGTATAGCCAAGAGTCTTATCTACAGCATTCTGGAATGTTCTAACCGTACATTAAAAAAGGGTGCTGCTATTGAACAGTTCTACCGTGTGCTGTTTTGGACACTGTCAATAAGTCAAAACATAGTACAACAACTTTCAAGTTCGTCCCGATTTCCTGATGATTCAGAAAGAAACGATTTTACGGCATTTCAACAGCTTCACCTCAAAACATTTTAATGTACCCTCTTCTCCTCTATTTCGTATAATTTTAATTTCAATTAGATCTCGATAATCGATAATTTTAAATTGCGTTGATTCACGTCCACGCTTCCGAGAAACGTCAGTCGCCATTTTGAAAAACAAAACCGCGCCATTTTGTGATCGTTCCTGTCAAATGCTTGTCGAGACTTGGCTAGTGTTCGGCGGGGGGCTCCGCTGGCGTGCTGGTCGCGGCGCTGTTGATGGCGGGGCTGGAGACCGTGCTCTCCTTGTCCAGCTTCCGGAACGACCAGTTACCGGCGCCGTCGAACTCCAAAACGTGCGTGTGGTACTTCCTGAGGAGAAAACGAAAGGAAACCTCATGTATACACAGCGGCCCGTATACAGCGTGTTCGTTTTTGTCGTGTTTTTTTTATTGCTTAACTCGGTTTTTAAGTGGTTACTGGAGCCCATAGACATCTACAATGCGCCACCCACCTTGAGATATGAGTTCTAAGGTCTCAATATAGTTACAACGGCTGCCCCGCCCTTCGAACCGAAACGCATTACTGCTTCACGGCAGAAATAGGCAGGGTGGTACTTACTCGCGCGGACTCACAAGGGGTCCTACCACCAGTGTATGGAGGAAGCGTGAGCATATTAACGGTGTCGTATATCATACGTACCACACGCTCGGTCGGTGCGTGATTGAGAGTAGCGTGATGCCCTCCTTGACAGCCTCCTCATACATGACGACCTCCGTCTCCATGGAGACAGCGCTCGTGCACTCGTCCAGCAGGGCGTACACCGGCCTGCAAAGTATTTCTCCCTATAAGTCCTCATACAAGGAAGTAAGTAGTAAGAGAGGAGTGAGCGAAGAAATGGTATATGATAGAGGAGTATGGCAGGAGAAAACATGTTGCACCGACCCCACGTGACTGGGAGAAGGGCAGGAGAATGTGATAAGTCCACAAGGAATAACCTTTTAGGTTAATAAAAGAGGTGACGTGCAATAGATGTCACAGCGTGAATGCCGACACCCACTTTGAGACTTGAAGTCTGTTCTCTCAACTGTACGGAAGCCGGGCAAATAACATTTTTATTTATTTCTATAGCACTATGTTATTCTCCCGTCATCGTTTAAGTCGATCGTAAGCCCGAGTTAGGTCAGTGTTTCATTAAAAAAAATTGATCGTGTCTGCGGGATTCAAACACCGGCACAGTCGCATCGAAAAAGTATATATACAATTTCCGTTTCTTTTTAAAATCAAACACACACTTGAAGCTTTAATAAAAACGAAACTGAAAAGTTACACTTCTTCGATTACATTTTTGGCGTTAAACAAAAAACAGGACGGTGATCGCGTTGCGGGTAGTATGGCGGGTGCAAGATTGTTTTTTTTTTAATACGCTTTTATTAGCTTCAGACGTATGTATGTATGTTTGTAACGGAATCTCTGAACATGATTTTGAGCCCCATCAAAACGTCGGATTAACTCGAAATTTGGTATACTTATTAAGGACCGATGACAATATAATATTTAAAAAAAAATTGCATTTTTTTTGTAAAAATTGGTATCCAACTAAAAAATGAAAAATAAATAACATAATAGTTTAAAAAAAACTAAAAAAAATCCGCTTTTATAGAAAATCCAACTAAAAAATAGAAAATGACCTTTAATAAATTTGAATTTAAAAATAGTGTAAAACCACGCTTTTTTTACAATAAAATCATTTTCCTTACACTATTTTCATCAATTCACATTAATTCAAATTTATTAAAAAAAATATTCAATGTTTTAGTTGGATTTTCTATAAAAACATATTTTTTGACTACTTTTGACCTTTTTTTTTAACTATTATTAACTTTATCCCTATCTAAGCTGATGGTTTTGAGAGACCGTGTTAGCGTCGCCGGGCACTACTAGCGCACCTGTGGTAGAACATCCTGGCCATGGCGAGGCGCTGCTTCTCGCCGCCGGAGAGCGTGGCGCGCCAGTCGCGCACGGCCCGCAGCCCGCCCAGCCGCGCCGCCGCCGCGTGCAGCCGCACCGCGCGCAGGATGCGCCGCGCGCGCTCCTCCGCCGCCGCGTCGTCCGGCGCCGCGCGCGACGGGTACGTCACCTGGTCCAGCAGCGAGCCCGCCGACATGTACGGTCTGCAACGCGAACCGAACATCCTCACGTTTATGGACATCATGGAAACTAATTACACGCGGTGTATCAATCAATTCAATATATATGTATACACATAAACACACACATACACAAATTGTGTGTGTACCATTTATTTTTTACATTAACTGAAGTCGATTTCTGACTTGTGCGATCCACACACGACCCTAAACTCAGTTGCGATATCGGGACAGTGGTGGGGAGGACCCTAAATCGTACCCTAAGCCACCTCGTGTATAATTTATTATGATATCTTACCCTCGTTGACATATTAATCTTTACACCAACTTGTCCTTAAAATAATATTTATAAATGATTTCGCAAAAAAAAAGGTACTTTTTTACAGCAAAATTAGAGTTACTTTAGTATGTATTTTGTAATACAATAAGGATTTTAGATAAGTAAGTATTCGGTAAGTGTCTAATAAACACATGCACAACAGATAAATGAAAGCGGGACATTTTTGTTTTCGTTGGGGACAGCGGGACGGATAGCTTGAGAGCGGGACAATCAGGCCCAAAGCGGGACGGGTCACGTTACTGCACAGATGTCGATGTTGCCAGTTAATATTAATCAATGCGAATTATTGATAGAAGTACCTTTGCGGTATGTAGAACATGATGGGGCGCGAGGCGCAGGCGTCGCTGGTGTTGGTCTCGTCGGCGCAGTGGCCGCACGCGCAGGGCCGCGGCACCGACAGCTCGCCGCCGAACACCGGCCACAGTCCGGAGATTATTCGGAATAAGCTGTACGTACGACAACGATTATTATTAACTAGAGATGAAACGGATAGTGGTTTGGCCGGATACCGGATACCGAATATTGCCGAAGAGCCGGATATTCGGCCCTTTCGGAAATATTCGTGCGCGTTCGGGTGTTGTCGCTTGTGAGCGGACATCGCGACGACGATTTGGTATTCATTCACCACAATTTGCCACTTATTAATGTTGAGTATTAAACAAACTAATTAATAAAACGACCACGTTTGACGTGCGATTATAAAAATAAAAGTTGTCCATTACCTATTGCCTTTTGTATAACCATGATAATATTATCTTCAATTTTACTATACGAAATCCGGCCGGATAGTGAAAACATGGCCGGATAGGCCGGATACCGGATAGTTACCGGATATCCGTTTCATCTCTATTATTAAACAAATTTCACACTTTTTTACACACATCGGTGAGAAAGGGTATTTGATTTAAGCGACATTTCGCTTAATACGCAACGCAACATGCATCTTCGTAATTAAAAGCGCGTTTTATTTGATATTACGAGTAGTATCAACAGTTCGATATTTTTAATCGAACTTCAATTATGTAAGTTTACTACATTCAAATACCTGAATAAGTCTTTTTTATTGATATTTTAATACGCTTTTTTAAACTGTAAATGGCTCCCTTGTAAAGCTACAAATATGTCGCTTAAAGCAAATAGCATTTCACTCCTCGATATACTCTAATATAATGCCGCGTTTTTAAATGAAGTTTACTTTTAATTACTTGTTATTTAATTTAACGCCATCTATTGGCAACTCTTGCAAAAAAGTTCCACACATATAAGTCCTAACGAAACCCCTACAGATATAATCTGTGGACGGCAAAAAATTACCGCGAAAATTAATTATAGCGTAAAAAAGCTATATTAAGGTGGCCGCTCTCGGACCTGGATCCAATTCCAGTATGGACGCTAGTGAACGAGTTCGTAGACGGCCTCATCTTACTGGTCATCCACTTAATCCAAATATCGTCGTTGTCAAACCAAGTTGACGTTGAAGTCGTCGTGGCCTAAAGGATAAGACGTCCGGTGCATTCGTATCGAGCGATGCACCGGTGTTCGAATCCCGCAGGCGGGTACCAATTTTTCTAATGAAATACGTACTTAACAAATGTTCACGATTGACTTCCACGGTGAAGGAATAACATCGTGTAATAAAAATCAAACCCGCAAAATTATAATTTGCGTAATGAGTGGTGGTAGGACCTCTTGTGAGTCCGCGCGGGTAGGTACCACCGCCCCGCCTATTTCTGCCGTGAAGCAGTAATGCGTTTCGGTTTGAAGGGTGGGGTAGCCGTTGTGACAATACTGAGACCTTAGAACTATATCTCAAGGTGTGTGGCGCATTTACGTTATAGATGTCTATGGGCTCCAGTATCCACTTAACACCAAGTGAGTTCGTCCACATACCGAAGCGCAATAAAAATATATATATATATATACATATATATATAGACATCCAAAAAGTCCACTGAAAAAATCTCAGTAAATGGCCACCATTTTACTGAGATTACATTTAATTAATTTCATCCCAGTTGATTAATGTCTCAAATTAATCATCTTCATTTCATTTCATTTCATAAAAATAAGAATATAAATAAAAATAAGACATGACTTAAAGGTCTTAGTTACGAGGTCATAAAATTATTTAAAAAAAAAGGCCGATGCTGGAGTAGATTCTCACCTGGACTTCCCACATCCGTTGGGTCCAACGATGAGGAGATGCGTCCCCGGCGCGATGTCCAGGGTCACGCCGGCGGCCACCACGTCGCAGGCCGGGGTCACTATCGGAACGTTGCGAAGCTTTATCGACAAGTCGTCCGTGTACATCACTTTGCCTGAGGAACGAAACAAATCTATTTTAGATCTAAAGGTGAGTTTATTTACATCTATACTAATATATAAATCTACAGTGGTTTTTACGGATGTTCCGTTATAACTACTGAACCGTGCATCCGATTGACTTGAAACTTGGTATCCATGTAGAAATTACACGTACTTAATGGATGGGCTGATATTTATATGAGTGTTGGACTCCCTACACCAGTTGCGGGGGCGTTAATGATGAGAATCTTTGTGGGGGTGAGAAATAATAATGTTAATTTTAAATACCCAGCGAAGCGGATGGGTACAGCTAGTTAGATAATAAACAAACACTAGTGGTCTCCCGGTAGTCGAAATTCGGGTATAATTAATTGAAATTATAAGTTTGTACACTATTATGATTCTACTGTCAAAGATTGTTATATATCTATAATTACAGATTTCGTCAAGACTACACTATACTCGTATAGACAAATAATGTTAAAGGCAAACAATATTTAATATATTCTCAATATGACCACAAAGATTAAACAATAAACAAAACAGTATAAATGGTACAATTATTCGTACGTGTAGGTACCACCCTTTTTTTTCGGGTCGGGGACCGAACCTACTACGAGGTCCCCGCGCCTAGGGGGTACCACCACTCTGCCTACTTCTGCTTTTTTTTCCTATCTAAGCTCACGGTTTTAAGGGACCATTTCAGCGTAGCCTTAACTAGTAGGTAAGCTCACGGGGTTCAAACCTGACGACGTTGCTAACACGAACCCTAGCAAGAGCCGTGCTTCGCAGAATCTACCACCGGATCGGAAACGCGACCCACTGAGAAGATCCGGCGAGAAACTCAGTCAGCTGTGTCTATGGGTTAATTTACTTGCCGAGCCCTTCGTTGCAAGCGACGGGTTCGACCATGACCGGTTACTTCTGCGATGAAGCAGTAATGCGTTCCGGTTCGAATGGTGGAGCTACGGTTAGGATTGCGAGTTACAGCTCGTGTGTCAAGAGGCAACGAAGGCGCGGGAGGTTGGGGCGGGGGGTTGGGCGCGGGGGCGGCAGTGACCTTGCGGCACGGGCTGGTTGTCCCGGAAGGTGACCTGGAAGGCTTGGTGCGGCGGCGCCACGTGCACGGCGCGCACGCAGCGGCCGCGCGCCACCTCGCCGAAAACCAGCAGCATGTCGGACACGCGCGTGGCGTACCCCGCCAACGTCACCACCTCCTGCAAACCAACCAACACTTGAGTATCCGTTAGAGATGAAACGGATATCCTGTAACTATCCGGTATCCGGCCTATCCGGCCATGTTTTCACTATCCGTCGGATACCAGATAATAAAACAGTATCCGGCCAGATATCGGATAGTAAAATTTAAGAAAATCTCATGAGTATACAAAAGGCAAATAATACCACAATAGGCTATGGATAACTTTTATTTTTATAATAGCACGTCAAAAGTGATTGTTTTATCAATTAGTTTGTTTAATACTCAAAATTAACAAGTGGCAAATTGTGGTGAATGAATACCAAATCGTCGTCGCGATCTCCGCTTACGTACGACAACACCCGAACGCGCACGAATATTTCCGAAAGGGCCGAATATTCGGCGCTCCGGCCTCGCAGTTTGCCGAATATTCGGTATCCGGTATCCGACCAAACCACTATCCGTTTCATCTCTAGTATCCATTATGTCATATCCACTGGACATCTTGTGAATCCGCACGGGTAGGTACCACAACCCTACCTCTATTTCTGCCGTGAAGCAGTAATGCGTCGTCGTGGCCTAAAGGATCAGACGTCCAGTGCATTCGTGTTGAGCGATGCAACGGTGTTCGAATCCCGCAGGCGGGTACCAATTTTTCTAATGAAATACGTATTCAACAAATGCTCATGATAGACTTCCACGGTGAAGGAATAACATCGTGCAATAAAAATCAAACCCGCAAAATTATAATTCGCGTCATTACTGGTGGTAGGACCTCTTGTGAGACAGCACGGGTAGGTACCACCACCCTGCCTCTATTTCTGCCGTGATGCAGTAATGCATTTCGGTTTGAAAGACGGAGCGGCCGTTGTAACTATACTGAGACCTTAGAACACATATCTCAAGGTGGGTGGCGGCATTTACGTTGTAAATGTCTGTTGACTCCGGTAACCACCTAACATCAGGTGGATCGTGAGCTCGTCCACCCATCTAAGCAATAAAAAGTGGAGACAGAGAGTATGATGGTAAACAAAGTTGCCAAGAATAATACTAATGCAATTTATTAGGTATGCTGGCAAAACAAGGGTCTAGCGCAGAGTTACCTGTGATTAGCATTTCGATCCTAGTGTCCAAGTTAGCGACCCTATAGTAAGTCTGGTTTTTTAAATACAACTCATAAGCGTTTTAGGTTAAATAGTTTTTATCGATATAAATTGCACTACAAGTCAATGAAATTAATCACGAAAGGTCCAGGTTTAATATTTATTTACATACAACAAGTTGAACACGCACAAACAGGAAGCACAGCACAGACGAAGAATAATTAGTTCATAGAATTAAATAGTAAGATAGAAAAGCAAGGTGGAAACTGAATTTAATAAACATACAGGAAACAAAGAATTACGAAATAAGTAAGCTATCGATAGGCGACATGCGATCTGCGTGAAGTCGAGAGAATCGCTGTCGGTTGGGACGATGCGCCGGAGCGGGGTTGTCTCCCCGCACACTCCACTGCAAATACCGTTAGAATGTGCGTTTTCGTTGCACATTCTATTGCCGTTATTTTATCGTGTGATGTCGGTGTAATTATAATAAATATGTAAATATACTAATATTATGGTTGTAGTATAAATGTGTGCGTGTTATTATTAAATGTATTTATTATATGTATATATTATATAAATGCCAATATACATAGTAAGTGTGCTAGTGTGTGTCTGTGTGTGTTTGTGTGTGTAGGTGGATAGGTAGATGCCACATCACTCCCCCGCGGAGACCGTTACTACGGGCGGTAAAAGTCAGGGAAGTGTACTCTGCGACCTGATCTGGTACGCCTCTCTATGATAATTTCCTTTTCAGGTTGGTGTTTTGGTGGTTCTTCATCAAGTAAGTAGGCTGGTTTCACTCGGTCTATCGTTACTTTGATGGACTTTCCTTTTATGAGCAGTGTCAATGTTTTATCATCTCTGTGCAGCACGGTGTGAGGTCCTGTGTATGCAGGTTGTAATGACCTGCGCTTTGCATCATCTCTCAAATAAACGTGGCTGCATGTCTTGAGATCTTTAAATATAAAAGTTGGCTTATGTCCGTGTCGTGATGCTGGTTGTGGTTTTAATTGCTGGGCGAATAAACGTAACCGAGCAATAAAGTCAGACACATCATTGGTTGGTGTCACACTAGGACTGTCAAAAAATTGTCCCGGTAGTCTCAACGTTTCGCCATAGACCAATTCTGCTGAGGAAGATTGCAGGTCTTCCTTGTAAGCGCACCGTATGCCAAGTAAAACTAACGGTAGTATCTCCGTCCAGTTCTCTTTGGCGTGGCATACGATAGCGGCTTTCAGATGGCGGTGAAATCTTTCCACTAATCCATTGCAGGAAGGATGGTACGCAGTAGTCCTTTTATGAAGAAAACCTGTCAGCTCCGAGAGATGTTTGAACAGTGATGATTCAAATTGAGTTCCTCGGTCTGTGACTATTTCTGTAGGACAGCCAAATCTTGACACCCAGCACGTTAGTAGAGCCTTGGCTACTGTTTCAGCTGTTATGTCGGTTATTGGTGCTACTTCAGGCCATCTTGTAAAGCGATCTACGACGGTTAGACAGTAGCGGTAACCTTGTGATATCGGTAGAGGTCCAATCAGATCAATATGGATTTGTTGGAATCTGGCTTGAGGTAGCTGGTAAGTGCCTAGAGGTGCTGATACATGGCGTGTTACTTTGGCACGTTGACATGCATAGCACGATCGAGTCCAGTCTCTACAATCCTTGTTTATACCGGGCCATACGAAGCGCTGTGAGATTAGCTTGATTGTAGCATTGGCGCCTGGGTGACTGAGGCCATGGATGTTATCAAAAACTTGACGTCTAAACTGTCTTGTTATGAACGGTCTAGTGTGTTCAGTGCTGATATCACAGTATACGCTGGTTGTTGTTGCAGGAATTTGGATTTTTGTAAGACGCAGCGACGATCCCTCTTTTAACAGATCTTGGAGCTCTGCATCAACGGCTTGATCTTTAGCTAGTTGTGCATAGTCCAGTGGTGCTATTACTTCTTCTATTCTAGATAGCGTGTCAGCCACTACGTTGTCCTTTCCCGAAATGTGACGGATGTCAGTGGTAAACTGAGATATGAATTCCAGGTGACGATGTTGTCTGGGCGAGCCTTTTTCTTTACGTGCGTGGAATGCGAACGTTATAGGTTTGTGGTCCGTGTAAATTGTGAAATTTCGAGCTTCCAGCATGTGACGGAAATACCGGACTGATTCATATATCGCAAGCAACTCGCGATCGTAAGGTGAGTATTTGCACTGACTGGGACTTAGCTTGCGGGAAAAGAATGCCAATGGTTGCCATCCTCGATTCTTGTATTGCTGGAGTACAGCGCCGATGGCGTTCTCAGATGCATCTGTGACCAATGCCAATGGTGCTTCGCAGTCTGGATGTGCCAATAATGTGGCACGGCACAGACTATCTTTACAGTCTCGAAATGCTTTTAGTTCCTGTTCGTTAAAGTTGACAGGATGTGAGCCCTTCACTGAGCCTGTAAGGAGGTTGTTCAATGCAGTTTGAGTTTGTGCAGCTGATGGTATAAATCTTCTATAAAAATTAAGCATCCCTAGGAACCTTCTAAGCTGTTTTATGGTTTTCGGCTCAGGAAAGTTTTGGATGGCTTCTACTTTGGCTTCGAGAGGTGTTGTTCCTTCAGCTGAGATCGTGTATCCCAGAAACTGTACCTTTTCAACTCCGAAAACACATTTGGAACTATTTATGACCATGCCATAATTTTGAAGACGCTTGAATATTTCACGTAGATGCGATTGGTGCTCCTGCTCGTTATGCGAAAAAATTAAAAAATCGTCTAAGAAAGTGTAGCAAAAGTCAAGTCCTCTGGTTATTTCATCGACGAATCTTTGGAACGTTTGGCCAGCATTACGCAGACCAAACGTCATGAAGGGGAACTCGTACAGGCCAAACGGTGTGGTAATAGCTGTCTTTGGTACGTCCTCTGGAACAACAGGAATTTGCTGGTAAGCCTTTTCTAGGTCTATTTTGGAGAATATGGTACAACCATTGATGCAGTGGGCGAAGTCTTGGATGTGGCGTATCGGATAGCAATCAGGTATTGTACGCGCGTTTAGCATGCGGTAATCGCCACATGGTCTCCATCCGTTGTCCTTTTTTGGAGCAAGGTGTAACGGTGATGCCCATGGACTCTCTGACGGCCTAGCGATGCCATTTCGTATCATGGACTCGAACTCTTGTTTAGCGATTCTTAGCTTGTCAGGAGCCAGACGTCGAGGGTTGCAGGAAACTGGTGGTCCAGGTGTTGTCCGTATATGGTGCACGGTGTTATGATTAACTGTACGCGGAGCTCCAGAAGGTCGAGTTATATCTGGATATTCCTTTAAGATTTCGTGATAGTTCGTCTTCACCAATATTGTGCGAATCGAAGAAATGACGTCAGACCGGGCTGGTGTTGCAGATGTTTGTAATGTGGTTGTATTGTCCACAAGACGTTTGTGTCGGCAGTTAACAGATAAGTTGTAGAAACTTAGAAAGTCAACGCCTATTATGGCTTTGGAAACATCGGCTACTACAAATTTCCATGTATAGTTGCGGCGAAGTCCAAGGTCCAATTCCAAATGTTTATATCCGTAAGTATTGATTAGTGTCCCGTTTGCAGCGTAGAGTTGATAATTGGTTCTTTGTCTTCGTTCTTTAATTGCAGTCCGTGGAAAAACACAGAGGTCGCTTCCTGTATCTACGAGAAACTGTGTTTTGGTTTTTCGGTCCGTGATGAACAGGCGACCAGAACCAGGGCAATCGTGAGTCGCCATTACCGACTGCCCGGGGCGTTTCCCGAATAGAAATCGCAGGGTTTCATGCATTTCTTCGCTTTTGTGCCGAATTTTGCATGGTACCAACAGTTGGGATATTTCTTGTGAGAAGAATGTGATCTGCTAGTGCTACGGCTTCTTTTTTCTCTTCTATATGTGGGCCTTGATCGTATTGTGTCTCGAGTTGATAAAGCGTGGACTTGCTTGGTGAGTTGTGCTATCATTTTGGCCATTTGGTCGATAGTATTCTGTGTGGTAGCAGAAGTACTAGCGACTACAGGTGTTGCTGGTACTATATCATTCACCCTGTCTGCCACCTCGGCGAGTGTCTGAAGCGGAGTTAACGGCTGAGCAGCCAGGACTGCCTGTATGCTGCTGGGCAAACGGCTGGTCCATATCGTCTTCAAAAAATCCTCTGGAATGTTCGGTCCTGCCAGGTGTTGCAGATGACGTAAAAACTGGGAAGGCTTACGATCACCGAGCTCTTCGTGCATGAGAAGCTGTTGCACTTCCTTTTCACGTGATGCGGATAGTCGCTTAGTTAATTCCGTTTTTAATTTCTCATATTTGTTTGTTTCAGGTGGAGCGATAATTATGTCTTTTACCTCGGCAGCATAGATGTGGTCAAGTTGGGCGGTGACGTAATAAAATTTTGTTGCGTCACTTGTGATGTTCGCCAACGCGAACTGTCCTTCCACTTGTGCAAACCACAATGCCGGTTCCTGCGGCCAAAACGGTGGGATCCGTACTCCGACACGACATGATTCACCAGATGAGTCAATGGAAACGTGCGCTTGGTTTTTCGAATCACCGGCGATATTTTTTGTTGTATTCATTTTATTTTGTGTTTAAAATGTTCTTGAACCGGGGTCACCACTTTAGGTTAAATAGTTTTTTGTCGATTTAAATTACACCACAAAGTCAATGAAATTAATCACTAAAGGTCCAGGTTTAATATTTATTTATGTACAACAAGTTGAACACGCACAAACAGGTAGCACAGCACAGACGAAGAATAATTAGTTCATAGAATTAAATAGTAAGATAGAAAAGCAAGGTGGAAACTGAATTTAATAAACATACAGGAAACAAAGAATTACGAAATAAGTAAGCTATCGATAGGCGACATGCGATCTGCGTGAAGTCGAGAGAATCGCTGTCGGTTGGGACGATGCGCCGGAGCGGGGTTGTCTCCCCGCACACTCCACTGCAAATACCGTTAGAATGTGCGTTTTCGTTGCACATTCTATTGCCGTTATTTTATCGTGTGATGTCGGTGTAATTATAATAAATATGTAAATATACTAATATTATGGTTGTAGTATAAATGTGTGCGTGTTATTATTAAATGTATTTATTATATGTATATATTATATAAATGACAATATACATAGTAAGTGTGCTAGTGTGTGTCTGTGTGTGTTTGTGTGTGTAGGTGGATAGGTAGATGCCACAGCGTGATTGACCAGTCTGGTTCGAGTTTGTTTTACTGTTAAGTTTGTTTTACTGCCTCGGCGGTGTATCATCAATTGCTTGGCCGTGGGGGATGGTGACAATGAAAAATTAGCTCGTACCTTATAACTGGACATGAGCCTCTCGATGGCGTCCGCAGCCGAATTCAGCAGGTTCCTGGACGTGGTCATGTACTCTGTTCTCGCGCTGATACTGTTGCTTTCACCTCCTGGAAACGCAAACAATTAAACATTTTTATTAAAATAAATACAATGATAAACTTGTTAACAAAACGCTAGTAAATAATACGGCCATTGCCAGCTGACTGACAAAACCGGCGCATGCGCAATGTAGGCTGAGGTGATGATTTGCTTATTAGATATAAAATAATTAATAATTGGGAATTTAATTGTTTTTATGATCGAACAATCACCAATAGTCGTCGAACAAACGATAATTGATCAAAATTAATTAACCTGAGCGATAAAACTAAAGCTATCTAGTAAGGGAGGCCAACTTAAGGGTGATAATTTGTTTAATTAATTATAAATAAATAAAAGACGAACAAACAATTTTTACATTCGAATATTAACGAACAAATAATTAAAAATAAAAAAAATCAGAAAATAAAAAAAGGGGGGCCAAATTCAGTGAGCCCAAATGCTCCTGTAACAATCACTTGACTGCGTTTAATATATATTTATGTATAAATTTAAACTTGTGCCAGTGTTTTGTCTAGTTCCCGTGGCACAAGGAATCCTAGTTTAAATCCAAGTGACTAAGTTTGATTTGCCTCTGTTTATTTAAAGAGGGAGCTTAAGTCAGTCCTGTTGACAGTTTGAGATTGATCGTCATAAGATATTCTGTGACGTCATCAGTGTTGGAAAAAATAGATAACGATTAATCGATTTTGAAGTGAAAACTTCTTTAGAATCGTTGTGATTTCAAACCGGATGCAACGGAAAAAACAACAGGTAAGAGACACAAATACAAAAATGTGTAGGATGAAGCCAGCAAAGAATGAGACAGAAATATACATACTATTTAATACAGCGCCATCTGTGAGATTTTTTAATACTAACGTGTGTATGAAAGCTCTTGTAGTGAATTTTAATTTAGGATTATACGTGAAATTAAAATATCAATTCACAGACAATTATTTACTAATGACAAAATTTTACATATACTTAAGACGTTTAGGATAATTGTATTTTAATTTTGGAAGGTTTCACTTCTACCACGTGTGAATTGCACACATTTTGTATTTCTATTTTAAAATTGATTCTTCACTCTCCGATTCGGATATATCTGAATATGAGAGTTAATGATACTGGCACGAGACCTTTAAAGTATTCTGTTTGATGCGATGCACACGCTGCTATTCGACGATAGATGGCGTTGCTCTTACCGGCGTAACAATGCCAATAAAAAATAATAAATGCGGCTTATTCGTAATTAATTAATCAGTCAGATTCGATGATTAAGTTAACTCGGGAGCAACAACCCTAATACAAACGTACCTTCCTTAGTCCCCGTGAGTATGGGCAGCGCCAGCATGACCATTCCGGTGCCGGACCACAGATACTTCATGCAGAATTGCTCCAGCATCACGTACCACAGTTTCTTGTTGAACACCGAAGTCATTTGCGCGACCAGCTGTTTGTACGCGGACTGCAGCTGTCCTAGTTCCACCTGACGGAGAAATTGTGCTTGTTTTCACTGGCGGTAGGACCTCTTGTGAGTTCGCACGGGTAGGTACCACCGCCCTGCTTATTTCTGCCGTGAAGCAGTAATGCGTTTCGGTTTGAAGGGCGGGACAGCCGTTGTAACTGTACTTGAGGCCTTAGAACTTATATTTCAAGATGGGTGGCGGTATTTACGTTGTAGATGTCTATGGGCTCCAGTAACCATTTAACATCAGGTGGGCTGTGAGCTCGTCCACCCATCTAAGCAATAAATAAAAAATAAATTGTTAGTCCAAGGAGCACAGAATCATGGATGACGACCAGCCTGTGAAAGGAAAACCTACCTTATGCCCTCCGTAGAAGGCGACTTCTTCAGCGTGCGCGATGAGACTGGCGTGGACATGGCGCAGGTTAGCGCGCATCCTCGCCTCCTCCCCGGCCAAAGCGCCAAACCTCGGACTGAGCATACGAAGGACTTGTCCGGTCGCGCATATCACCACCGTTGCTATCCCGGGACCTTGAAGTGAAAATGTATTCAAATAACAAATAATCAATATTGAGCAATAGCTTCTGAATCGCCATGCCCTTTCTTGACTCACGATAACATATAAAAGTGTAGAATAGAGTTTTTAATCATATTAATTGTGATTACATGTTAACAAAACACCCAAACAAAGTTCTAGGTCTCAGTATAATTATAACATTACTGCAAAGCATTACTGCTTTACGGCAGAAACAGGCGGGGTGGTGGTACCCACCCGTGCGGACTCACAAGAGGTCCTACGACCAGTAAAAATTAGTAGTAATATGTTGTACGCTTTATGATCCAGCGGTGGACTTAGCGTATTATAACTATACTGAGTGTCGCGGCGCCTGACTCGTTTAGCACAGCAAGCTAGCCAAAACATCATACCAAAACATTTACTACTACCGGCACCGCGCGCTGACAGCATTTTTTTTTAAAGAGATTGTATGACCTGGTAACTAAGACCTTTAAGTCATGTCTTATTTTACTTTATATTCTTAATTTTATGAAAAATGATAATATGGAGTGCAATGAAATGAAGATGATTAATGAGACATTAATCAACTGGGATGAAATTTAATGAAATGAAATGATATGGGATGAAATATAATCGCAGTAAAATGGTGGTCATTTACTGAGATTTTTTCAGTGGAATGTTTGGAGGAACCCGAGAAGTTACGTCCAGCAGCTTTGTTTCATTTTCCCACATTTGTGCACTTTCACAGATATTAAACAGTTAATAAACCACCGTTATTACACATTTAAACCTGAAGAAACACTAAATAGACAAAATAAAACAAATCACACAACATCACTCCTCGCGTTCCCGCCAAAAAGTCCCGCTGACAGCATTCAAGAACATTCTTAATATACCTCACAATAATCATTATGGCTCAAGATCCTTCCTTTTCGAGAAAGGTCACATTCTTCATACATTCATCGCAGAACAATCACGACTAAGCCATTGTAAATTGTAATTAAAGCAAGTAGCAAGCATTCAATTGGTTTTAATATAGAAACAATAAAGCCACAGTGTCTCGCGTAGACACTGAGACCTTAGAACTCATATCTCAAGATGGGTGGCGGCATTTACGTTGTAGATGTCTATGGGCTCCAGTAACCACTTAACGCCAGGTGGGCTGTGAGCGTTGACCCATCTAAGCAAAAAAAAAACTGCTTACTTATTTATAGGTACCCACCAATGAATATGTTTCCTTTCATCTTGTTGGAGTACGAAGCTAGAGTGAGGACAATCAGCAACAAATCGAAGCAAGGTTTTGTGAGCGAACTGTAGAGATGCGCCACGGACTGCGTGAACACGGAGACATCTTCCGTCAACCTGGATGAGGAGCATACAAATAAACGTTACAGTTCCAAAAACCGAATAACCCCAAATGGACCGTGAGTTGATAGTAGATGGTAACGAAATCAAATCAAAAATAAATTATTCAACATAAATGAAAGTACATACTTGTTGAACGTCAAAAGAACTACCGCCAATTCACAAGAACTAGCCTCCGTCCTGAGATGAATTGGCAAGAAACTCAGCGGGCATGTCTTTTTTTTTAAATATTAGTTTGTTTTTTTTAATATTAGATATATGTTTTTTTTGAAAAAGACGAAACCAAAGTTTTAAGTTAATATATTAAAAATGATCGTGTGATGTGGATGGCTTCAAACCAGTCGTTGATTATTTAGGATTTTAAGTTTAACACAGTTCGGGCAGCGGCCAGGCTCTGCCCCTGGCATTGCTGAGGTCCATGGGCGACGGTAACCACTCACCATCCGGTGGGCCATATGCTCGTCTGCCTAACGGCAATAAAAAAAACGCCAGTCCTGCGATAGTGCGGGATTCCTTTGCTTAGAAATCTACCTTCTGTTGCCATCATTACGCCGATCTTAATATTTTTATTTTTTGACGAAAATGTACAAAATTTTAAATATTTTCTTCGCATACTCTTTGATTGTGTTAACAAGGGAATCATGCCAAGTTTTAAGAGGTCGATACAATGCCGACCCTCAGTCTTTAAATATCTCAGATGCCACCAGTGTATAATGTGTTAAATTGCCCCAACTGTTCTGAGCTTTAGAACGAAATGTCAGTTTACAGTGACGTGGAAACAGAAAGTATGATAGTAACCAAAGCTCCCAAGAATAATACCAATGCAATTTATTAGGGATGCTGGCAAAACAAGGATGTAGCTTAAACTCACCTGTGATCAGCGTTTTCGATCCTAGCGTCCAAGTTAGCGACCCTATAGTAAGTCTGGTTTTTGAAGTACAACTCGTAAGCGTGATTGACCAGTCTGGTTCTGAAGGCCAGGGCCAATCGGCTCTCGAGGTATCTGATCATGGAGTTGATGAAGGTAGCCGGTATGGCAATGCCGAACCACTGCATCAGCAACGACGAGAAACTGCGCATGTCTTTTTGGACTATGTGCTTCACTGGAATATAGTTTCGTGGGTAAAGAACTGACGCATATTACTCATACATTATCAATTAACCACAAAAGGACGTGCCGAATGTTTTATGACGTCACAATCGACGCAGTAACGAGCGAGATAGGCTGTCAACGGTCCCGCTCCTACTCCCATCTTCACTACATAGTATGAAACAAAGTCGCTTTCTCTGTCCCTATATCCCTATGTATGCTTAAATCTTTAAAACTACGCAACGGATTTTGATGCGGTTTTTTTAATAGATAGAGTGATTGAAGAGGAATGTTTATATGTATAATAACATCCATTAAATAGTAGAGAAATAAATAATAAATTACAGTTTCCGAAGCGAACCGAGGGCGGGTCGCTAGTATAGTATAAAAAAAGGTAATGTCTGCGTGTAAAATCGGTGCAGCTTTCACAGAAATCAGTGGTATGACCAAGTTCTGATACGAACAAACAGACATAGACAGTTTTAATAAACGTTGCCAAAGATAGACTTCACAACGTTCATAGCGCCCCCCACTTTGAGATATGGGTTTGAAGTCTACACCTTTAAACGGGGTCGCGTGATTGCTACGTGATAGAAAAAGACAGAAGGATGATAACCATCTGTGCGGTCTCACAGCACGCCATAAAACTATTAAAGGAACATTGTCAAAACCAATGGTAGTACTCACCAATGGACCCTTCCAAGGAAGCGACGTAGATCGATAGAAAGGTCCTCGAAAATAAGCATAGAGTATGAGCTGTAAGTAGAGCTACTTCGTGGCTCCTGAACCCTGGGACCATGATCCTCGCGAGTGAGATCAGCTGCCTGAGGAATTCGAGGTTGAGACCCGGGACGTGCTCCTCGATTGATTGGGTTTCGTCAGCGTCTTCCTGAAGCGAGAGGATGTACATTTAAGTTTTTAGTCAGGACTTTCATTGTTTTTTATTAGGTATTCTTTATGTTGTTTATGCGATTTTCAACTTTACGCTCAGGACGGTAAGAACGCATGTCAAATTGTGGGTATACAGCGATTCTATAAACGGAGTGTTCTAAGTTACGCGCCATGTTTTGTCTCTTTCTATTGTTTTTGTACAAACAAAAATGTTCCTTTATATGTGTATGTGTGTATGTGTGTGTTTCTGTCGTCTACATGTATTTTTTAAATATTATTATGTTAATTCGTACTATTCAGTTCAAACACTGCACAGTTGTCGTTGTTACTTCAGGTTTTTTTTTTATGATTGAAGGATTACTGGTGGCCCGGAGGCCTTTCCAGTTTCACCAGGACAAGGATACTTCAGGTACTTTAGGTTCTACTTGCGTGTAGATAAATATGTGATTATCATATACATATTGAATAATTTTAAAATTATTAAAAGAGCATGTTTTATTGGTTTCAATTGTGAATCTGACCCATTCTCGAATTCACACGAGCACACAAAAAATCTTTTTCACACAAAAAAAATCATCCTAATCGGTCTGGCCGTTTGAGGATTTCACTAATATACACACGGACAAAAGAATTATACATTTACACTAGTGGATCAGACACACGCTGTCCTGTAAAAATTCATTCAATTCGATCCAGTCGTTTAGTTGCAGTAAAGGACTATTATGATTCTATTGTCAAAGATTATTATACTTCTATAATCACAGATTTCACCAAGACTATTTGTCTAAAGTACACTTTATTAATAACGACAAACAATATTTAATCTATTCTCAATTTGATCACAGACTTTAGGCTATAAGAATAGTTTGATTATAAACAAATAGTATGCATGCGTGTGTGTGTCAAATACATGGTAGTGTGTGTAATGTTTTATTATTATTACTATTGATTTAATGTATTTTTTATGCATAATTTAATTCTCTATCTCTATATTCTAAAGATTCTGTGTGGACTTCTTATCCGAATAGAAATAGCGTAGAAGTTCGCGAGCACAATAGCGAACATACTTACGATATTCTGTTTGTTGTCGGTGTCGACTTCCCCCCTGCAGAGGGCACACTGCTCCGCCCCGCACCTCCCCCCACAAGTTTCGTTCGTCTTGACATTATCTTCCGTGTGAATATTACCGTTCTTCAAGATCTGTGATCAAGGTATTGTAACACTTTAATATCGTGTGGTGTAAATTGTGAAATTTACGTAAAAGTAAAACACAGAGGCCATTTTAGATTCCCTATCCTCCCGATCCACTAACGGTGCTTTTAGGTACCACAAGCACCGGTCATCGTTCTCGTCGAACCCGTCACTTGCGACGAAGGGCTCGGCTAGTAAATTAACCTACAGACACAGCCCACTGAGTTTCTCGCCGGATTTTCTCAGTGGGTCGCGTTCCCGATACGGCGGTAGATTCTGCGAAGCACTACTCTTGTTAGGGCTAGTGTTAGCAAGGTCATCAGGTTTGAGCCCCGTGAGCTCATCTTCTTGTTAGGTTACGCTGACATAGCCTCTCAAGTCTAGCTTAGGTTGGAAATAAAAAAGCCATTTATAATGGCCTAATAAACCTAGCTCTTTTATGATGCATCCCCTTGAAACATAAGTTTTAAGAACCAAATGTATGTTTGTCTCATCGCTAAACAGGAACGCATGACTGATATGTGACATGTAGGATGTTTGGACCTCCTACTGACTGACTGCCTCGACGGCACAGTAATTAGCGCCTCTGGTTGCTAAGCCGAAGGTCGTGCGTTCGATTTGCACATCGGACAAACATTCTCGCGATTAACAAGTTTGTTGGCACATTGTCTAGATGTCCAATATGCATTTCTTTAAACATATGTATAGGTCTGTTTTTCGTAGCTCGGGGAATGCTAGTTTGGATACCGTATGTGATTTTATTCCCTAACTAGCTGACCCGGCAGACTTCGTAGTGACTCAATCGATAAATAAAAGACCTAAGCTTTTGTATAAAATAAACTTAAAACAAACAAAAGGAATCCGAAAATTATTATTTTTATTTAATTCCGAGCATTTTCATATTTATCTACCTTTTAAAACCTTCCCTGAACTTCCACAAATAATTCAAGACTGAAATTAGCCAAATCGGTCCAGCCGTTCTCGAGTTTTAGCGAGACTAACGAACAGCAATTCATTTTTATATATATATATAGATAGAAGATTATACATTTTTTTTAACCAACCAATATTTATTGAGTAACAATCTTTTTGCGTGTCCGGTTTCACTACACGATATGTGATTTATGTACAAAGCCTTTTAGCGTATTCGTTGATTAGGGCCGTCTTTGTTGCACCGTCTGTTGAGTCACGGCTTACGAGCACTCCAACAATACAATGGATGATGAAATAATAATTACAGTCGCTAGCTACAATGCAGTTGCATCGCTTCCTTCCATAAAAAAATATATATATATATGATAAACTCTCTTTCAATTGTGACATGTGGCATATTGAAATTGGCATCTTCAATGTTCAACTCAAGAGTTCCACTTTGTGTCTTAGAATGTCCAATCGGTGGCATGGTGGCGTCTTTGTGAGGGCTTTGGATTAAATACTACGTTTTCTATCAAACTTATAATAGAGATAAGAGAAAATAAACCAGTTTGTCGCTTTTTTTTCTCTACTCAAACTATTACCCTGGGTGGTTATGCTAGCGTAATCGAGCGAGTAGGTGAGCTCACGAGGCTCTAATCTGAGGACGTTGCTAACACTAGCTAGCAAGAGCTAAATCTAGAACCAGATCGGAATCACGACCCACTGAGAAAATCCGGCGAGAAATTCAGTGGGCTGTGTCTCAGGGTTAATTTGCTCGCCGAACCCTTCGCCCAGCGACGGTAGCGGCGAGAACGGTGACCGGTGCTTGAGGTACTTAAGAGCACCAATATTGGATCGGGAGTTAAGTTCGAATATAAACTTAATATGAACAACGTTTAGCGCGCGAATACAGTGGACAAATATCGCATTTGTCTATATTGGTCATAACATGTCTATGTGCTTAGTGCGAGTTTTTTAACGTTCTCGATAGCGTAAAAGTTAACTCGAATTTGTATGGGAACGTTTGCCTAAGTTTGCCACTAGGGGCGCTGTTCCAAAAGCATACAAATTCGAGTTAACTTTTACGCTATCGAGCACGTTAAAAGACTGTTATCCTTAAAATAATGAGTGTTACCTTATAATTATTGTTATTGTTGCATGGTGGGGGTTGTTTCTTTTCTCTTGTTGAATAAACGGCGCACGCGGCTAGCGCCACCCCTACGCCCACGCCGAGTGCGAGCGAAGGCTGCACCCGCGTTGCTTGTTCGCGAATTTTCGACAAAATGGCCGGCATTTTTATGGAACACTAACACTTTTGAAAAAAATTCTTAATAATAATAATTCAGAGATCGTTTGAATGTTACAAATCACAGATACGTTTATCAATAAGAGAAACTGTTCTTTTTTTTTTGCTATCGCTTAAGTCATTGTACCGAATTTCGTTTTTTCATCCATTTTATCTGAAACAAAAGAAATACTTTATTGTATACACTGAAATGACAGAACATGATTTATAATACAAATAAATAATTAAGTGTTATTTTTATGATGCTATTTACGATCGTCACTGACGTCAACAATAATGTAAAAAAGTAATTGCCTAATGACATACCTAGCATTGTAATAATGTCAAGATAATTTGACAATAGCGATTTTTTTCTTTCAAATTCACGTAATTACCTACGCGCGATGCTAAATGGAAATGATGGAACACATTACCGCAGTAATGGTCAACGAATAACCTTCATGATTGGATGTTTGCAACAATATATTTGCGTTTGTACAAAGTTATTTCGTAAGAGCGATTGTAAACATAAGAAATGTATTTGATTTATTGCTAGGGCGCATCGAGTTTCACTATGTTTCTTCCTTTTTTATATGATTGAACGATTACTGGTGGCCTTTCCAGTTTCACCAGGACAGGTGAGCGAGCAAAGGCTCAGCCAGGAGGGGAGGGATTTGGTAACAACTGCCCGAGCGCCTCCGAAGGAAACCTAACTACTCAAGAGCAGCTGCTTCGCGAATGAATCTACTACCGGTTGGAATCGTGACTCGCTGAGAAGATCCAGCGAGAAACTCAGCGAGCTGATGCATGGGTTAGGTTGCACGTCGAACTCTTTGTCGAGTTCGACGAGTACGGTTACCGGGGTCCCTAAGCCTGCTCCCAGTGTCAGGCGTCTAATGCAAAGGTTATTGGATCTGATGGATCCGTAAGGACGTGACGTTTCTTCTATTGGCCAACAGATGCCACCAGAATAGACTAGAATTATTTTTAATTATCATTAACGTTTTATCTTTAATGTATTCTAACGGAATTGCGAAAGACAAAACGTTACAAACATTGAGTTACAATCTAATCTCATGAACGCAATTATCAAATCTAATTATGTACGTAATTACGTAATTGTTTTTAATATTCACANAGGACGTGACGTTTCTTCTATTGGCCAACAGATGCCACCAGAATAGACTAGAATTATTTTTAATTATCATTAACGTTTTATCTTTAATGTATTCTAACGGAATTGCGAAAGACAAAACGTTACAAACATTGAGTTACAATCTAATCTCATGAACGCAATTATCAAATCTAATTATGTACGTAATTACGTAATTGTTTTTAATATTCACAGTAAAATTACTACATGTGTATTATGTTAGTTACAATTGAATAATAAACGTATTATGTAAGCAAATTGTCTTTTATCTTACATAATATCTTTTATCCTATTAAATCTTGTTAAAAAATTAACAATACTAGTGGTCCCGCAGTACTCGAAATTCGACTATAATTAATTGAAATTATAATTTTGAACATTATCATGGTTCTATTGTCAAAGACTTTACTTCTATAATCACAGATTTCGCCAAGACAACACTATAGACAAATAATATTAAAGATAAACTATAATAACCTATTCTCAATTTGACACACAGACTAAGCAATACAAAAATTTGACAATAAACAAAGAGTATTTATTTGTGTGCGTGTGTGTGTGTGTGTGTGAGTGTGTGTGTGTGTGTGTGTGTGTGTGTGTGTGTGTGTGTGTGTGAGTGTGTGATTTTTTTAAATAAAATATTAGCATTTTGCACTCCTTCTCTATCTTCTCTATAAGTGTAGGAAATGGGTAGAAAGTTTTTGCTTCACGTATTAATATATAGATTTTCGAATTGTGCTTGGTTCTAAAGTCACATGTGTAAATAGGAATGGGGGGGGATATTAAAACTAAAGTAGCGTCCACTAGTTTTTATAGTGGTTAATTTAACATCTATTTGCTCTGTAGTAACACCCCTTTTCCGAAGTCAAACTGCTCATCAACGAACCGAACTATAGACGCCGGCATAACGCAGCCTAAATTAAGCACAATTAAAACCAAGTGTCAGTGGTGTGATAACCTATGCCCCTGCGATCTCTGTCTGACACGTCTACGTGGAGATTAGGGGTCATCCATAAATTACGTCACACGTTGATGGGGAGGGGGGATATCACCGAAATGTGATATAGTGTGACAAGGGGCATGGGGGTTCAATAGTTTTGTGACGTCACATGTTAAAATTTAAAATATTAAAACGCGAAGTTTAGATGTGAATAAAAAACTTTAAAAATCTACAAACTTGAACTATACTTATTAATAATTTAGCATTCTCGCTATGAGATTATCTCTCATGCAAAGTCATTCAATTTATAAGTTAACCTACAAGCATAAATTGAAAAAATGTGTGATGTCACATCAGGGGGGGGGTGTTATAAAAATGTGACAACCTGTGACAAGGACGGGGAGACGGGTTCAAAAGTCCTAAAATTCGTGTGACGTAATTTATGGATGGCCCCTTATAGGCAAGAAGTCGTCGTGGCCTAACGGATAAGACGTCCGGTGCATTCGTGTTGAGCTATGCACCGATGTTCGAATCTCAGGCGGGTACCAATTTTTCTAATGAAATACGTACTCAACAAATGTTTCACGATTGATTTCCACGGTGAAGGAATAACATCGTGTAATAAAAATGAAACCCGCAAAATTATAAATTGCGTAATTACTGGTGGTAGGACCTCTTGTGAGTCCGCGCGGGTGACCTTAGAACTTATATCACAAGGTGGGTGGCGCATTTACGTTGTGGATGTCTATGGGCTCCAGTAACCACTTTACACCAGGTAGGCTGAGAGCACGTCCACCCATCTAAGCAATAAAATAAATAAAAACCCTGCCTATTTCTACCGTGAAGCAGTAATACGTGTCGGTACCATTGAAGGCCATTGTACTGTTAAAACTGAGACCTTACAACTCATGTCTTGTAGTGGATAGCAGCATTTACGTTGTAGATGTCTATGCGCTTCGGTAACCACTTCGCATCATATTTTTTTTATTGCTTAGATGTGTGGACTAACTCACAGCCCACCTGGTGTTAAGTGGTTACTGGAGCCCATAGACATCTACAACGTAAATGCGCCACACACCTTGAGATATAGTTGTAAGGTCTCAGTATAGTCACAACGGCTGCCCCACCCTTCAAACTGAAACGCATTACGGCAGAAATAGGCGGGGGGCGGTGGTACCTACGCAAATTATAATTTTGCGGGTTTGATTTTTATTGCACGATGTTATTCCTTCACCGTGGAAGTCAATCGTGAACATCTACTATACAATAACAAAAAAAAGGTTAATTTCGTAATGTCTTAATCTCCCATCAGTTACGTTTTCCCTCACTCTGCATTAACTTTAACATTGTCGAACTAAGCTATTCGAAATTCAAGGAAACGTTATTAAGTTCATTGTTTATCATCTTTTTTCGGAGTTCGTTACGAGTCACGTGTTTTCTTGTTTATATATAATAGGTACAATGCCTCAAAAACTCAACCTTGGGGTGCACCTTGTGTGAACAAAGCGCCGCGCCGAGCCGGAGGAGCCTTGACCCTGGCGTGAGTCAGTCCGCTGCGTTACCTGTCGTGCTCGTAAACTCACATTAAGGATAACAAACAAAAAGTCTACCTACCTACATATATCAATAAACTCTACTGTATTTTTTTTAAGCGTTACTTTTGCTCACATAAATTTATTAAAGTGACCAATTTCTATCTTGATAACTTACGTTAGGGCCATTGGAAGTCTGAGAGAGTGAGACAAAGAGAGAGAGAGAGAAAGCGCGAGAGAGAGAGAGAGAGAGGGAGGGAAAGGGAGAGATTCTACTTTATTGTACCTAAACCACATCATAATTAAAATTGTAATTAGGCGGTTTTCTCGCCAAGTACGATCTCTTCCAGACCACCGATTTCGCTTTTTTTTTCTATTTACAAAGGTACTACCTACAGTAATTACGCAAATTATAATTTAAGGGGTTTGATTTTTATTACACGATGGTATTCCTTCACAGTGGAAACCTTCAACCTTCGCAGAACCTTTAGAAAATCTCTTAGATAAATACAAGAATAAAACCTGAAACATTAGATTAGCATTAAGCTATTTTGCCGTGTGAAACCAGAAAGCCTTTCATTCATTCTTACCTTCATTTTATTTCAGACAACAACAAGTCCATATGTGTACATAGTATCATTGAAACAAACTTAAAATTAACAAAACCAATCAAATAAAAAAGATACATTTATTAAAAATAATTATCAGTTGAATACATTTCAAATATTCAATTCAACTGATACTTACTTCGAACCAACCATTATTATTATTATTATTATCCTGTATTAAACACTGCCACGCCTGGGAAGACGGCAGGACACACTTCGGCGAGGTGGGCAACAATCGGCCGGAGCGTTAGGGACTATTGGGAGAGAAACCGGCGAACTATACGGGCATTGTCGAGCAAGACTGCTTTTTGCATTTGGGCCACCACCGACTTTTTGTTGAGACCAAGCCTCTCGAGATGTTTTGAGAGGCTTTTAGGGACCAAACCATTCACCGACACAGCTACCGGGATTATTTCTGTAGATACCACCCTCCACATGTCGGTCACCTCGTGCGCTAGGTTCACATATTTGGTCTTTTTATCTGCCTCGGCCCGCACGAGGTTCTCGTCGTAGGGGATGGTGATATCCACCAGAAATATATATTATTATTATTATTTAGTTCGCAAGTGAACCATGGTACAATGATTCAAGTACCGACAGTTCTAAACGGTCTGTTAATGCCTTCAGGATGCTGTTAGGGCTGACACGGACCCGGCGAATCAGGGATGTGCACCTTTTTCGCATGGTCGTATAGAAACAACCGACTCGTGCCTCGGCGAACATTCCCGACGCGCTACAGAACCGGGGCGGCCTCAACAACACCCTGAACGCATTGTCGTATTGGAAGGCGCTGTACTGCTTTTATATATATAGAGCACCCACAGGCTGCTCGTATAGAAGGACGTACAAAACGCTCTAAATAGAGTAATTTTGACATCCCACGAACATCGAGCGAACCTGCGGGCAATCATATTAGCTCTTACAGACAGATGTAGACTTAAA